CAGGATTCTGGACGCGTTTATAGATCATTGTAGCAAGCTGCTTTCTCGCAAGGCCTGCAGCCAGGCGGAAGGCTTTTGGGGATGTGCCTGCCCGATAGTTGAATATGACGTGCATACTCTGTCATGTGGAGTACATGTAGGGCTGCATGCACCGGAGAAAACAGCAGCACAAAATGCCAAGCGGCAGGGTTGCAGCTTTCTGCACCCTCACCACAAAGCTTCGCCGTCGGGGCACTCTTGACCCTTGGGCTTGGGTAAAGTGGTTTTTGAACTCTTGAAACTGCAACCAGCACGTCTGCGAACAACTGAGCACCGCAACTGGCAGTAGCCTCGATGCATCAAGCTCCATGCAGCGCGCGAATTTTTAAAACAAACGTAGCAGCATCTGGATCATGCTGGTGTGCTGACAAAGGACCAACTCGATTTCGCTGGTGGGCTGGATCGACTGCCTTGTCCCGTCCAGCCCACTCCCCACAACTAGATGCACGGTTTTTGGCAGGGCATTGGTACAAGTAGTGAATAGTTAGGCTGCAGTGCGTACATGCAGGTGTGTCACTGGCTATCAGTCGATCACGTCTTCAGGAAAGCCTAGGGAAGGCTGCCAAGGCTACCGAAGTGCCGAGGGCTTGTCACGCTGTTGTGGCGGCTCGGATCCTCCATCATCTCCTTGGCTCTTCAGTAACCCACTGGGAACAAGTATATGGGTGGTTGTCAAAATTAGGGTCCCATTTTGGGTCCTTGCGATAATACGGCACCTAATATTTAGGGTACCCAAGAAGGGACCATAATTTTGACAACCACCCATTTTGAGCTTCTTATTTTATAATAGGAACCCAGAAACCTGAAAGTACAAAAGTGTAAAGTGTACCACTGAACAGCCTGGTCTCCGTAGCTGCAGCATCGCTATTGTCCTCCGGGATCGATCCGTCGGGCACGGAGGAACCGGAGCCCTCAACCACGGCAAGCTTTGCTTTAGGCCTGTCCGAAAGCTGAGAGTGGCCCATCATAGATCCTGCGGAGGACCCAGTCCCAGTGCCTGAAGCTCGGATTCCAAGCTTGATGCAAATCTCCTTCAACATGCGGTCCTGCTCGTCGAATCTTGCGTTCGTTATCTTGTAGATCTTTTCGCTGGAGTCGTCATTGTCGGCCTTGTCCTCAGGCCACGGGAGGTCCACGGAGGCCAAGCCACCAAAACGTTGGACCCTGTCCAGCTCCACGGAGGGACTCTTCAAATGCTCGAAGGGCCCTTCCACGGTGGCCAGCCCGCCACATGGTCCAACATCTCCTTCATCCAACTCGCATGGCTCCTGGAGCCTTAGGGACAACACGAAAGCCTTCCATTTCTTGGCAGAAATCAAAGGCATGGCTGTCTCCAAGATGACGGTGCCACGTGTCAGCCAGGCGTGGCCCATGGCATCCTGGAAGATTCCACGGTATGATTCGCAAAAGTGTGCTATCATCAGGTTCGCGATGAAGATGTGCCAACACGCCCCGAATGCCATGATCCACCACTTCAGGGGCACCTCGGTTGCGGTGTGGATCTCCTCGTAGTTGTTCCCGCTATACATGTTCAAGGACATGGAAATGAGCGACTGAAAGGCAGACGGCCAGTTGTAGAAATCCCGTAGCTGAATGCTGGCATCTGCCCCTGTCTGTGGGAGACAGGCGATGGCACTCGCGAAAGCTGTGGCCAAGAAGGCCAAGGCCCCTAAGTAGAGCACAAACTCCCACCAGAGGCTCGTGCAAATGACGACGAAGCTGGAGAGATGGATGTTCAGGTAGACAAGGTCCGATGCCAAGACGAAGTACAGCAGCATGGGAATCGTGGAGATGCGATCGTAGTTGTCGGACAAGGTGCAGTAGAACTCACCATGCTCACAACAGTTAGTGACGAATCGGTCATCAACGTTTAAGCAATGCAAGAAGGGCTCCATAGTCAGCATACCAAGCAAGAAGACTGCCAAGACGAACTCCACAAATTCCTGTCTGGAAGAGAGGAGATAAGCAGGCAGCCGCAGGAATCGACAACAACGCACCGTACGCCCATGATTGTATGCATTCACAAATTGCGAGGTGTGCTTCACAAACAGGTGGCCCAAACTGAAGATGTACATGAACAAGCGACAACTGATCAGCGCCCATCTGCCAGGTCCCGCCGAATCAAACATGAGGATGCCATATTGCAAGCCCACAATGAAGTCGAAGAGCGTGAGCACAAACCACAGTTTGGTGACCATGAAAGCGAGACAGCACATTTTCGCCCAAAGAAGATCGAAAACAAAGCGTGTGCAGGGGTGGCAAAGCAAGTTTGGATCTCCGTGCTTGACCAGCTGAGACATGGATGGCGCAAGCCCTCCCTCTTCATTCACCAAGATACGGCTGATGTAGTAGTTCACCCTGCGCATCCCTCCCTTGATCTGCTTGGACCTCCACATTAAGCCGTCGAGCAAGTGCTCCATCAAGGAGGGTGCCTGTTTGCACAGCAGCGGCACAATGTCCGGGTGCCGGTCCCAAAGGCCCTCCATACCGTAGTAGTAGCCTGAGCTTTGAAGTAGCCAAGGAGAAAACCATAGACTTATATTTCATAATGGTTCCGTGAAGGAACAAACTCCAAAAAAGTAATTGAAAGTATGGTACTCCAAAGCCCAGTAGCGAGCTCGGTCGGCTCGGATGCTCAGCAGATCCATGAGGATGGCTTCCGCGGAGCGCAGCGCGCCGCTCTGGATGGCCCAGAGCAGGGGTGAGATGGACTCCGTGCCCACTTGCACCCGAAGGAGCATCTGCTCTCGCTGACCCCTAGGTGCCGAGGACACGGCTTCTTCAAGTTGCCGGGCAGAATTCTTTGTGATGGCTCGCATGACCGCAGTGGAGCCTTCGGCCAGCGTCCGAGCGAGCGTGCGGCTTACGAGTTCAAAGGTCCACTGGATGCCTCTCAGCCAGCTTTCCTCAGCGCAGACATTCTTGACCGCCGACATGAACGAAGTGACGAACGGTGAGATAAGTTCTTCCCTGACGCCGTAGCCAGCATGGAGCAAGCCAAGAGCTGAGATGTCTTTCACAGCCAACTGCGGCGTTCGGAACATGTCCGTCATGATGTCCAAGATCCTGCCTGCGATGAACTGAAGCTTTGCATTGGATGCCTTCAAATATTCCTGGGACTGCTCGCAAGTCGCGAAGAAAGTCTCGAACACCTCCATCTTGAAAGCAGAGCAGGCATCCTCATCCATGCGCAGGAAAGACTGCAAATGATTCATGTACACCGCTGTTAATGGCATCCCAGTCGTGAGTCTCTGCTCCACACCATCCCAGAACCAGGACCAAGCGTTCTCGTGCTCCGTGTTCCATTGCGAAGGTAACAACGATCGAAGCGAAGCAAACATGACCTGCTTGAAAGCATTGAGGTTAACCTCGTCATAGTGCACCAGTGCCAGGCAGAGCAAGTCACATTCTTCCTGCATCCTGGAAATGTTCCCACAGTTAGGCACCAATGCACGCAGCGATTGAAGCATTTCCTCGAACCAAACATTATCGCTCATGTTCATCACGGAAGCATTGAAGAGAACCATATCATGGAATGACCGTGGCACATGAACAGAACCTACGCTTTTCAAGCTTTTCCTCCCCTTGTGCTCGCCAGTGCCGGTGCTCTTCTCACTGGGCGACACAGGCTCGTTGTTGTCGATCTCTGGCTCGAGCTTCCCATCGTGGGTCCGAGGCGATACTGGTGAGTCGATGTCCAGCTTCTCACCCTCAGACTGCTCAAGGGCTGTCCAACTTGTGCGGAGGATGCGCAGCCGTGTCTCGAATTTCGTGCGGGTGCGCAGCATAGTCCTGCCCATTGCGTCCACCAGCATCGAAACGCCGAACTGGAACTCTGGGGTAAGGAGGGCTCCAAGCTTGCTGCCACACAATTCAAGCAGGACGGCCTTGAAACTGTCGACATCCGATTGCTGCAGTGCCACGCCCATGTGGCGAAGAGCACAGAACTCCATACTGGCTCGTAGCTGCTGCGCATCATCAAGCCCAGTGATGAGCTTCCCGAAAGCTTCCCAGGCGGCGTGAGCTCGCTTCAACATCGGCCCTGCCCGGGGAACTGCGACCTTCAAACTCTCAAAGAAATCCAAATGAGCGCCCTTGTGATCCATGATCTTCCAGCCCGTCTTCACTTCGGTGATTGTGAAGTCGTCCAGCTCCACCATTTCAATCACGTCTTGCGCGTCCATGATGCGTCTACGGAATTGCCTCTTCGAGGCCCGTTGAAAAAGTCTTCTGCTCGGAGCCGTCGAGAGAATTAACGTGGCAGATGCGAAATCTTCCAAGATGAGCCGTTGTGCTACTGTGTGTGGAGAACCAACCTCAAAGCTCAAGTCAAGAACCTGCATAGTGGCGAAAAACATGCCTCTGCCCCAACTGGGCTGATGAGATACAATGTTGGACATGGTGGTGACACTACTGCGCCTCTGCTACTACCTCTAGAAATATTGCAGAATGGCCCTGCAGCTTAGCATCTGCACTGCCCTCATTGCTGCCGTGATTTGGGAGTTTCCGAAAATAGGGGACCCTAACATAGTACCCCAAATAGTAGGACCCTTACTATAAGGACCCCCGAAATAAGGTACCCCTAAACCCTAATTTTCGGAAACTCCCCCTTTTGAAAGCACCACAAGGGCTGGGCCCATAGAGGCACCCTGGCCCTGGGTTTCCGGCGCAAGGCCTTTTTGGAGTAAAGCCTCGAGACAGCCGGGATCCTGCCAAGGGCTTCCGGAATCAATTGGGGTTTCCGATTTAGGGTTTAGGGGCTTAGGGTTTACGGGTTGGAGGGTGCAAGAATTCCGCTCAACTGCTCAACTGCATGAAACGTACCTCTTTGTTGGTTTCGAACACTGCTGCTACTCACTGTGATGTTGATAATTGGGATGGCTGACTGCAACTGAGAGAAGCGTCATGCTTGCCATGGAAGCTCGCTTTTGACTCGCTGGCCCAAGTCGTTTCAACAAGTCTCACAAGCCCCATGCGTCTTTGGCAGAGGGCTTCTGATGGGACAACACCCACTGCCAGAGGCGTGGGTCACGATAGATCAAGTCGTAGCCTCGGGCGAGGCTGTGAACACTGGCGGAGGTCAATTTTGTGCGGGGCATCGGGGGTTCCTTGTCAAGAGACGGCTGTGATGCATTGCACCGTCTATTACGATTGTGTGAACAAGCCAGCCCTGGTAAGTAGGGCGCATCTATGCTAAAACACGCACACCCTTCATGTAGACCGCAAGGTGCGTGAAATGTTAGAACTGGCCGGGGGGTTCTAAAGAAGATGAGCCAAAGCTCCGTGACCTCGTGCAGAAGCGCTCAAGCCCCCTCCTTTCCTGGATAGAATTTTCGGACCGAACATGGAGATTACAGAGGCTTATCCTTTTGTCTTTTAGCTCCTTGTCCCGAGGCTTATCTTTAGGGTGTAGGCTTTAGGGTTAGGTCTTCAGAAAACCTAAGCGTCTGTGGAAGGCGCCACAGGAAAGAGCGATCTTCCCCCGGCACACCGGCACCGCAAAGATGTTGAGCTTCGTAGTTCATACCACTGTCTGTGGAGATTCCCTGCTAAACAATGCTAAACAGATGTCTTCTAGCATTGTGAAGCGTTTTTTCTCAGGTATGCCGGTTCCAGACCGAAGTAACAAAGAGTTGAGCCTGATCCGACTCGCCTTAGGAGGGTGCCAAATTCTGTCCTGGAGTCTCATGCACGCCAGGTTGCTGGCATGGCCAACCATGTAGTGGTAGAGAGGGTCTGGCGGGGGCGGGGCGATCCTGAGCCAGCCATGCAAGTGAGAAGCGCAAAAGCGACGAACCAAGGCTAGCTGCAAGGCAGCTACGAAAACAGTTCATAGCGGCCAGCATGGTTATCATCATCATCACCATCACCATCATCGCATCGTCATCATCGTCATAATCATCATCATATCATCACCATCGTTATCATAAGCTTCATCATCAACAACAGCATGGCCGTTAACATTGTCAGTGTCATCGACGCCAACATCACGGTCATGGTACAGGCAACTCTCTGATCGTCTTTGCGTGGCCGCTTGCGTGAACTTTACAGTAGCTCAACTAAACATCTAACAACAAGCAACCCCGACCATTTCACTCACCAACGCGAAATTACACATGTACCCAAAAAGACAGAGAAATTTGTGTCTGCGTGCTTGCGTGCGTATGTATGTACGTATATAGATATACACATACATACAGAAACACACACACACACATATATATATATATATGTAACTGTGTGTGTGTGTGTGCGTGTGTGGTGTGTGTGTACATATATAACGACACATGTGAAAATGAGTGTAATTATAAACTAGTGACTGTAAACAGTTACGGTTAAATAAACAAAACACAAACAAAATGCATATACTTATGTGCAAATATATACATATATATATATGTAATATGTGTAATATGTGTGGCGTTTGAGATCGAGCCCTATGGCCTCTAGGAAGCCGGGGCTAACGGAGAAGTGTTCAGGCTTCGGGGTGTTGGGTTCACAGGACCTGGGTTTTTCTTAGCAGAGGGCGAGGTTCATAGAGTTGCAGGCATACTTGGAAGATTACCCCACTTATAAACCCTGCATATGCCTTCAGGCCGCATCAAGCACTCAATGGATCGCTAAACCCGCCGGAGTATGGCTAAGCATTTGAGCTTTCAGGGCAGTCAGGCTCTCATGGGAGTTGAGAGCGGAAGTTCAGGTCTACTTGGAGGTTCGTGGGTAGTTATATGTGGGGTTATAAGTCCCCTAATATGGGTTATATAAGTATAGCTACCCTGCTTCTAGTCCTACTTATCACTACCCCATGAACCTCCAAGTATAGTAGGGGGTTGTGGTTTTAGGGTGTAGACCGGTGTAGACTTTTGGGGGACTTCGATGCTCACACTCGGACAAGCAGATAGGTTTCAGAGCTTCCGGATCAAAGTGAACTGCCCCTGCTGAAGTTCAGGCTCTTCCGCAGAATACGCTGAGCCTTCTCAAGCTAGACATGAAATGAGCCCTGTGACCCAATCTCATATAGTAAACGACCATAACACCCGCAACCAGAGAGGCCCCTGAGAAGGAAGAGCCATCATAGTCTGCGCCCGGGCACGTGTATCTTGTGTACCTCGGGTTCTTGAAGTCTCGGTTTCGGCGATTCTTGGCCGCTTGGCCCGATACGAAATTCTTTCTCAAGGGTTGACTGGCTTTGGTCTTGCATAGCGTCCCTGCACAATTCAAAAAATTCCTACTACTGCAACCTGTTCCTGAAGGGGGGCACCCTGAACCTGAAACCCTCAAAGACCCGGATGGTTAAGGCCCAGCGGACCTGAAAACTAGCTTAACCCCAAGTCCATGGTGGGTGTTGAAGGTCGAATTCTGGGAATTTAAGTCAACGCGAACCTCACAGCCGAAATAGGTCGGTTGTTGCAATAAGCGAACCCTAACCCCGGAACCCTAAACACCGAAACCCTGGACCCTAAACCTCATAAGCCCCATGCTCAAAAACCCCGCAAACCCTCAAACCCTCCACCCTACAGTAAAACCCACAAGCCCCCAAACCATAATACTAACTCCAAGAACCTATCCGAGCCCGAACCCAAACGGAACCCTACCAACCCCAAAAGCCCTCTAACCCGTGAAAGCCCTTTCAAAGCCCGAACCTCAAACCCTAAAACCCCAACAAACCCTAAAAAATAAACTTATCAAAGCCGCCTACAGCCCCAACCTACAAGGCTGGCCCAAAGCAAAGAAGCCCTTGAAGGGGAGCATACTGTAGAACCCCATATGGTAGCTCTTACGGGAACCCCTACAGGGACCCTTAAAGGAGCCTCTGCTACCCCAAGACCCTTTTTGCAGCAGGCCTCGTTGTCCAGCAGCCCGGTTACAGCAAGAGCCTTCTTCCCCCGCTTCTTCAAAGAAACCCCACACCCTCAACCCAGAGATCCCCCTGTAAAGGAACCCTTATAGATCCCTTTAAAGGAACCTTTATAGATCCCTTCTACGGTATCTTAATTTGCCAAAGGCGCCGTACTTCCGCCGACCTCCGCTGCTTCAGCGCTGCGACGATGTCATCGCTACCCATCTCGCCGTCGCCTCACTGGGCTTTCAGGTTTAGGGTTTAGGGTCGGTTGGGCTTTATAGTCCTATAGGGTAAAGGGTTGAGGGTTTTTCGGAAAGTCGCCTCGAGGTGGGCTTTCAGTTTAGATCGATTAGGAAGTATATTATACAGGGTTTAGGGTTAAGGGTTTAGGGCGTTTAGGGTGCAGTCCTATAGGGTTTGGGGTATAGTCCTATAGGGTTTAGGGTTTAGGGTGGGCTTTCATTTCAGGTTGATTAAGAACCATAGTCGCCATAGTCCTATAATGTTTTGTTGCTTTTAGCGGCCCTTTTGCCTTCTGCTTCGTACGTGGTTTGGGGTTTAGTGATCCGTAGGGCTTGGGGCACCAATCCTTCGTCGTCCGAAGGTCTCTGCCCATATGAGGCTGGCAGCTGCAATAAATTGCTTGGTAATTATAAATCGCTAATGAGGGTTTAGGGCTGCGCCCCGCGCTGACCGCGTTCGATTCGGACTTTCTCCGGAAGAATATAGGGGGCCTTAGAAGTATCAATGACAATTGGATTTGAGGCACATGATAGCGTATCCATATGGTATTTATATAAATATATATATATATATATATATATATATATATATATATTAGCGAGTTAAGGGGCCGAGCGGATACTTTCAGAAACTAGTTCACACTACCTCTTGAGGCTCTGCTGCGCACTCCGGTCTCCCCGCATTTGCCGAGCTTCCGATCGGTCAGTGGGGTGCAGGTATCAGTCTCTTCTTGGAGGTTCATTCGTGGGTAATTATAAGCGGGGTTCTAAGTCCCGGAATATGGGTTATTGGTATAGTTACCCTACTTATCACCCTACATAGAACTACCCTAAACCCTAATCCCTAAAACCCTATAGATCCCTTTAAAGGAACCCTACTTATAACCCATGAACCTCCAAGTTTGCGATGCGAGCTGGCGAGTCGGCTATCGATGCTGACAAACCGGACTTGAGCTGCTGCACCAAACTCCTTAAACCCTAACGTCCCACGCTCCAAACACTGCCAAGAATACCCCAGAAACAAAACCCCAAACTCTTCATCCCCAAAGCCAAAACCCATACTGCTGGTTATGTTCGGTACCTTGCATGACTTTAAGTTTGAAGCGAAGGCGCAGGATTCACTTCACTGCTGATAAGACATACTCTGGGGGCCACGTGCAACTTTGCAACAGCTGCTGCTGGATTGCCCACTACTAACTACCTTTTGACCACTTCAGCTTCGCTTTCATGAACTGACCTTCATCTGCCATGATTCCTGTCCAGCCAACAACCCAGATCGACAGGCCGTCCTGAGTTGCAGATGCCACGCTCAAGGTCAAGTTGCGGCCACTCGGGCGGGGCTAGGTCATGGAAGGCGGAAATGGAGCTGAAAGTACTTTTGGGAACATCTGTAGAGGGTCGACCTGTTACGAATGGCTCCAAATCTGAAACGAACAAGTCGGATATAGTCTCTATTCAGATTCTGAACCCGAACATGCTCTGACAACAAGGCACGGCTTGATATTATAACCCCTGCAGACTAGGGTTCAGGAAGGAGGTCTGGACGACCAGAGTGCAACGACCCTCACAACCAAGCCGAATTCCACAGCGAGACGCCAAACTCATCGCCAGATCTGGTGGGGCAGGTGCACAGATAGAACTTACCTGCAGGGGGGCCGTTCTTGAGCATTGCTTCCGTTGGCTAGGCCCGAAAGCGACCTCTTCTTTTTTCTAAGCAGATTCGAGTTCCCCTTGAGTTCACGGTTGCGTGCCTCGAGAAACAACACAGTCGAGGTGTTGTCTGCAGCGCTACCACCACTCTGAATTATACTCACTAAGATGAGGCGTTGGGGTATACTTTTGGTATAAGTCCAATAGTATACATCCACTGAAGCATCAGCTCTCCTCTGTTCTGCCATGCGGCAGAGGCCCACAGCGAAGGTCGCAGCGACGCAAAGTACCTTAAGGGGTAACTTCAGTCTCAAGCGTCCAAGAGGCGGAGTAGTTCCTACATCACCTCGACCAGCCACAATGTAACACAAGAGCATCAAGTCTCACCTAAACATGCGTAATAGAGGGGCCTTAATAATTAGAACATGGTGTTGGGGCCCATTAAACTATAAATATAATAAGGAACCCCCACCATAGTATTGGTAACTATTTCGGCCCCTACTTAAAGGATCATGGGACTTAGTAAGTAAGGTTATAAGTAGCTTATATTTAGGGTAACCCCACTTAGGGGACTTATAACCCCAGTTATAACCTACTTACTAAGTCCCATGATCCTTTAAGTATAGTATCCTGCAGGGACTTCCTGCGACCCCCCGAAAGGAGCTCCCCAGACCAGGAACTGGTGCACTTCGAGTACTTAGAGCTCTGGGGGGCTCCTCCGCTTCGTTAGAGCCCTGCAGGATAAAACCTCAAAGCTCGGACCTTAGAACCCAAACCCCCAAAAACAATTTAGATTTCGAAATCCAATCCCCCAAACCCGATCGTCAACTCCGTCTGCGGAAGTTCTAGAGGTCAGTCTAGATGCCCCGCCGTAGAAACCTTACTTGGAGGTTTATAAGTAGGGTTATAAGTAGGGTAGCTATACTTATAACCCATATTGGGGGTCTTGTAAGCCCACTTGTAACTACTCATGAACCTCCAAGTAGAGCTGAGGATGAAGCCCTGATTGTTCCAGGCTCTAGGGCATAGAGCTTCGAGATTGCTCTGCCTTCCGCATAGCTGTCGGGATTTGGAGTTTGCTTTTCTCCAGTGCTGTGATTCCTTGTGTTTAAATACTTATATATATATATACATATGCAAAGCTGCAAAGTACATCCGATGTAAACCATAACATGCGCACATATGTACAGAGAGAGACTATAGTAACATATATATATATATATATAGAATATGCATGTCTATAATATGATGTATGTGCGCTATGCTCAGGGAAAATACCACCTGTGTCCCCGCACTGGGGGCCCAGCCAGGCCCCAGCTCCACCAGCCGATTGGCCAGTCAGGGAAACGCGCGCCTGAGACGGACACAGGGGCTTTAGTAGTTAGAATGGGGCTTTGGGTATTTTCATATGTACATTCACATGTATACACTGTATACTGTATATATTCGGGGAAAGCAGACGAGGACTATACGGAGAATTGAATCGAAGCATTCAGACCATGATTGGTAGCCTTCAGGCCATTATTGCTATCGAAGATTGCAAGCTGTGAAGGCTACGAGGCATGCGGGATTGCAGGCTCAAGCAGGATCAGAGCTACATTTTGCGACCTGTTGGCACCTTGTCTGGCACTTCAGATTTCCGGCACAGGCTCTGCGGCACGAAGAAGTACAAGCATGTTGATGCTATATACTGTAGCAATGCAAGTACATTACATGTGACATGGCACGCTATCCGCGATACATTATACTAACATACTGTAACATATACAACATGTTACTATATGACCTGATGTACACATGTGTATATATATATATATATACATGTCATATCGTGACTTTTCCGATCACGGCATACACTGTACCAGGACATGTCATCCCACACTACCATATTATAAGATATTACAATACACTATACCGTCGTATTGCTTAGATGTTGGTTTCTTGTCTTGAACTGTAGGGATAGACTGCAGTGTATCGCATCCCTACTGCATATCACGCACTGCATTCCATTATATGAAACCATCCGATGTTACGTTGCACATCAGTCCAGCAAACGGCATTACAGTTCAGCATACTATGTTATAACGGCATGTACTATGGTCTGATTTCGCAGTATGTTACAGCATAACCTGCTCAATTTGGTGTTCAGCTATTTTTGAGATGGCATGTCATATGATCTTATATACAGCAATAGCACACCGTCACTACATTATTTTGTGATAAAAAAGTTTTCATCACTGTAGTCAGTTTTATACAGTATAGTACAGCACAATGTAGTATACTATAGTGTAATACAGCCGGGTATAATATAGTACAATATAATAATGTAGGGTATAGTGCAGCGCCTGGGGTGTATTCTGTAGTATTGTGTAATTATCTTGGATTGCATTGCATTACTCAATATTGTAGTGCATAGCATTACAGTATCTTGTCTTGTATGGCACAAGATTACTACACTAGACTACCCTTTTTCCACAGGCTTGATTAGTGCTCACTAGATTACCCTAAACCCTAAACCCTAGATGGCTTTCGGACCTGGGTTTCCTCGCGTCTGGCTGCACAGTTTTCGGAATCCCAATGCTGAAGCTGGGGGCTCATACTCAGAGCCAATGGCATGCGTGGCCACACGATGAAAAGCTTTGCAGGCCCAGGGTGTCTATCTTAGCAGCGCAAATACCGATCTCTGCAAGGCCTTTGACGAGCTTCAAGCTCCCAAAAGCTGAGTCCTCGAGCTGCTAGGCTCTCAGATATCGAAGAGCAACTCCATGATCTACTTCAAAGCCAAACCCTAAACCCTAAACTCAAACCCTAAACCCCAAACCCTAAACCCTGAACCCAAACCCTAAACCCTCAACCGCTAAATCCTTCAACTCTCCCCCGAAGGCCAAGCTTCGACACCTACTCCTGTAGACCTTGAGCTCTGTAAGCGTCACCGCCTCACGCTCTGAATTCCCGCCACCCCTGCACTGATCCTGACAGTAAGGGATTTAGGGTTTAGGGTTTAGGGTAAGCCATATACCATAATCCTTAACCTTCCATGCCAATCCCAACACTTTCTGTTCTCCAAACTCGATGGAGCCGATTTCAGATCTAAATCAAGTCAGGTCGCTGGGTCGCCTCGATATTGCTCTAAGACCTCTTGGTCGCTTCGAGCGCAGATGGGCCGTTTTTGAAACTCAAAGTCTACAACGGTTAAGGGCTTAAGGACCGGTCGACTGCACTCAGGGTTCATTGATTGTGTGCAAGGACCCGTCAATCTGCAGACTGTAGGGACGAACATGTAGAAGGAAGCCAGGGATCAGCTCATCTTCACTGAAAGAAGCCACCGGGCGAGAAGGATCCCTGCCAAACGGTGACCTTTCCGACACTGAGCAAACTTATCATGATGGTGATCGTTAACATCATTACGTATTGATAGTCTTATTGTTATTCTTATCCATTTGTTTATTAACAGTGTCTATTTTACTAATACTTATATGTGAGGCCCAAGGCCCGGGCGTGTTTTGTCAGCAGCTCGACCTCTTCAGGAGGTTAGCAGCACATCGTGGTGACAAGAGTTCAGCTTCCCATGTGCTCCCACGGCCCAACGTCTTTGATTTCTGAGGCACCTCTACTATCTCTGCGACACTTCAGGCTAGTGTTAAATGGTTGTGGGTGTATGTCATGGGGTATAAGTTCTAGCCTGCTGAGTTTCAGGCTTCGGGTTCAGGGTTCAGCACCCCAAGGCTCTTCAAGGGTCATGGTCTTCTGATGCTTGATCTGCAAACCGCGAACCCTAAGCCGTGGCATCTACTCCTCCAGTACCATGTTCAGCTATCGAGGCTTGACTCGCGAAGACCCTGACACCCTGCGGCTGTCAATTTACGGTGATCAAAGCACGGAGCCAAACTTTAAGTCAGACCCCGCTATTCCAGATTGTCAGAAGAGCCCAAGCCCCATGTGTCCCAATGAATGCCCGACTGGCCCAGCGATGTCACCTGTTTCAGTCGCACACTGCTCCAGCCAACTTGATTTTGCGGCAGCCATCCTTGAGGCATCACCTTGGATATTCTGCATTTAGGGTTGTGTTGCTTCCCAGCCCCATCCGCTGACAATACTCGCATGTTCTGGCGAACTTACCTCCCATGTTTGTATCGCATACCTGAAGGCTAACCGCTAAGATTTAGTATCTAAGCCTTTAGACCACAGTGGCCAAGAAGCGATCCGGTAGTAGTGGCTGCACCTTTTCTTCCAAGCCAAGTGCCCAACCCCACAAGCTCAACACGCCAGAACCCAAGTAGTCTCCACCTCTAAACAACCTTGGAAGCTTACATGCTCGTCGCTCTCTTGGGTTGCCGACTATCCTAGAGCCGCCTCCTGAAAATCGGGCTTGATCTTTGTCCGGGCTTTGGCTTTGGAAACACAGGCAATAACACCAAACTGCAACAACATGAGAAGGATCACATGGCAAGCGCGTGGGCCGAGCTCCGCTTTAGTGGAAAGGCTCAGACGCCGACTGACTCGCTGCACTAAGGATGTTGCCAGTCTAAGACCAAGACGCAGCAAACCTCCGGAAACCTTTGTCGTAGAGTTCGCGTAGTGGGTTGCATGCATTGTATAAACTGCACAACCTCACCCACAGCAGGCTACAGTCCAGGTATCATATCACATGCCTCAACAGCGAAACCGGCAACCCCGCTTCTGCGACAACGAGACCAATGCCGCCGTCTTCTTGTTTAAGACAGGTCGCAACGATGAACTGGAAAGTGTCTGCGAAATCGCAGACAGCCATAGGGCTGGCGAGGTCTTCCTGCGTTTTCAGGGCTTGGTAGGTCGCAAGCTGCTGCAAGACTTTCAGCCCCGAACCCGAATCGTAAAACACAAGTGCCACACCGTAGCCTAAACCCTGCAAGTCAACTCCAAGCCCACGTTGTACACGCACACACACAGAGAATCACAGAGACCTGACAGAGACCAAGCGTTCCGTTAGAACATGTTGGTCGTTTTGCTGCAACCTTTGCCATTTGTTGCTTCGAGGAGGAGAAAATCTTTTCCCTGATGTTCCACGACCATCTCCCTGATTGCGTGATGTCAACTGCTGAGAACTGCCTTTTGTCGGGAGTTTGGCATTTCTCAGTCCCACGGAAGCAGCACGCCGCCGGCACATGCGTATCGTTTCGTTGGCATGTCCGGGACGGCCTTCCATTTGGGCTCAGGGCCGAGTATTGCTTGTTCAGCTGTCGAGGTCACACGAGAGGATCTCTCTTCGTTGTGGGCATCGCTCCCCCCAAAGACAAAGAGTCGGCCACAAAGCACGGCAGTCGCACAGCCCCGTCTTGGCGTCGGCATCGGAGGTAGCTTTTCCCAGAGAGACTTTGTCAAGTTCAGGCGCTCAAAGTCGGCCAGCCGTCTACCTGCTGCATCACAGCCTCCCACAACGTAGAGACAAGCTGAGAATGCAACGCAGCCGCATCCTGCTCTGGGGGTTGGCATGGGCGGCAGTTCTCTCCAAGCACCATCTGCATCCATTGCCTCACATGTTCCCACAGCTTGCCGAGCACCCTGAAAGCCACCAGCCACACAGAGCAGGCTGGAGACAGCTGCGGCTCCACACAAGCTTCGCGCAGATTGCATTGCCGGTGCATCTGCCCACGCAACCATGGAAGTGCTGAGCATCTCTGTTGTCGACAGGTAGCCGTCCATGCCACTTCCCCCTAAGACATGAAGACTGCCCCTAAACCCTACTGCAGCACAGTTACCCCGAGGCGTGGGCATGTCAGGCAACCGCAGCCACAGGCACTCATTGGTATCGAAGCATTCGACCGTAGGCAAACGCTGCAAGTTATCATCACTTCCACCCACCACGAAAAGTCTTGGCCCGACGGCAGCAGCTGCACATCCGTGGCGTGCAGTGGGCATTGCCGGGAGTGGCAACCAAGAGCTGATGCATGGGCACCAAACCTCGGCCACATTCAGGGCGTCGCCGTGAGCACCGATGCCACCAACAACGCAAATCCCCACAGGACAGAGGGCCAAGACTTCAGGCAGACAGCTCCGGCTCTGGCTGTAACCGGCTTGGCACGTGGAGCCAAGCTGCCCAACGGCCCTTGGTCCTGCAGCACAGCCCACGGTCAGGAGAACCTCCTGGGCGAGTAGTTTATCCATATCTGTTTGGAAAGTTCGTGGAGAACTTATCCAACTCCAGGCCCCCAGCTCTCGCACACTTCACTCCAGGCTCAGGTCTGCTCATGAGCCTGAGCTGCTGCCGGACTGCGACGCGATGCCTGAAGTAGAGGTGTCATAATCATCTCAACCCTGTTTTTTTCTGGAGCAGGGAGAAGATCACTGAAAGGTATTTCGAATCCAGACCGAATTCAGCGGGCCGGTGGTCCCTAGCTAAGCAGTGAGCACCTCCCTATTCCTGAAGTGTTTCGAGCCAAGAACTCATAATGATCACAGCCGGTACAGCAGCAAGCGCGGTGAGGAAAACACCTAAGTGTTCAACAACAAAACCGAAACAGAGACAGAGAGGAAGAGAAAGGGAGAGAGCGAGAGAGCGAGAGAGCGAGAGAGAAAGAGTCGTCCTTGTTTTGAGCAAAATGCACATATATATATATATATACACACATAAACTACTGATACATAGTTACATACATACATACCTACCTACGTACATACATACATTTGGGTATGCATGTATGTATGTATAAGTATATATAAACACGCACACACACACATATATGGGTGTGTAGGATTGCACAATCACAAAAACACGTAGGCATGCATGTGTGCACGATGCACACATAAATACATAACTACAGACATGCATGTATATATATATATATAAATACACATATGCACATACTCAAATGTACATAAAAATGCCTGTATGTATATATATATATATAGATATAGATATAGATATATATATATATACACATACATACATACATACATACATACATGTCTGTATGCATATATATATATATATATGTAGGTCTATATGTATATATATATATAGAGAGAGAGAGAGAGAGAGAGAGAGAGAGAGAGAGAGAGAGAGAGAGTTTTTGCCTCGCTGCTCCTTCTCCATTAGCTTGCTACGATAATCGCTTACATCTAATACCCCACTTATTCGATTTAAGTGTACGCTAAATCTATCTCTCCGTATCAAGGATATCAACCAGGCAGACAGAAAGAACCACTAATTACTAGAATGTGAGCTTTTGGCGAACCACACAAAACCGCGCCCTGAGGGTGACGCTTTCTGAAAATGTGAATACATATTTTTGTCACTCGTGCTCGACAAGTCAGACGTGAATATATATATATATATATATATATACATTCATATGCACACGTGCTAACTTTCATGCATACCTACAAACATACATGCATCACTATTACTACGGGTGTATATATGCATATACATGCATACATACATACATATATATATATATATATATATATATCTACGTATGTATATATAGATATATATGTATATTCGTACGTATAATTTGCACTGTCTAGGAGCCAATATATCCATAATCAAAGAAGCGCAATGGTAAGTACATATGTATATATATATACACATAGAGATAGACAGATAGATATACATGTGTGTGCGTGCGTGCATGTGCGTGTTTGTGTGTGTGTGTGTGTGCTTGTACACATGTGCAATACATATGCACACCGGACATGAGTACATTTCTATATGCATGACTGCATATGTCATCGATACGCCCACTTCAATTTTGTACTGACTTAATCACTTACCTACCGAACTATTTGCAGAGCGATTGCTTAAATTGACTAGCCAATTGACGGTGTGAGTGATTTATCAACCACTTCATCTTTGACTTGCTTAACGAGCATAGAAGTTCAGAAGCGCTTATAAACAACTCAACACACAATTAATTTTGGCTCCCGCATGGCAGTCTCTGGAGATCCCACATGGCAGGTATTCCGTCACCAGACATCCAAGATCCCCAAGGCATAAGATGCTAAACAACACTCTAAGGTGACACACAAGTCGAAAGCAGTTCAAATCACAGTGCAGTTGCAAGGTTGTCAGCTTCCAGGCGCTTTCGGACACTTAATGCAGCACGTGGCTGCAACTGAATTGCTTAGTTCATCAACTAGTTCTTCAGTCAGTCATTCTATCAGGCAGGCAGTCGCAGCTAGTAGTTAGTTAGGTAGCTAGCTGGTTAGTTGGCTTATTACTGAGTGAACGAGTTTATCTATTTATTTGTGGTTTTTAAACAATCTGTTTAGCTAGCCCGTTAGTTAGATGAGCTAGATAGTAGCTGATCGTTAGTAGTTACATAATCAGTACGGGCTAGTACTTCGTAGTTCGTTAGCTAGCTGGCTCGATAGCAGCTAGTGGATGGGTTAAGTTCGATTGAGGTATCTAGCCGGGGTGACTCAGTCATCACTGGCCTATAATCAAGCAATGAAACACTCAACACGCTAGCTCGTTACCTGTGAATTAGGTGCATTGTTGCTTACCTACTGGCGAGTTGTTAAGCCATCCCGCTCACTCACGCAGGTAACTGACCAGCTAACTCAGTCGCTAACTAACCAGCTGGCTACCTGACTACTTATTTAACAAACTATTACGCCAGTAGTTGACTCACTCACTACTCATTCACGGGCGACCTGACTAACGAAAGGACTGACCGACTGACTCCTAAATGCTTCGTCAGCTCCAACCGAAACGATGCCTCAACTGTGGGACGTCTCTAGGTTCTCGGAGAACACCCCGCAGAAAGACTGTTTTGATCGGCCGTAAACCCGAACCCGCCATCTTCGCCTCGTCTTCCAGAAAAGGCTGCGGCGAGTCGGGAGGCGCCTCCATCTTCGCCCGGGCCCTGGAGGGAATTCAGCTTTTTTCCCTCCTACGTAGCAAGGACGAGGCCGGCATTGATGGGTAGCTTCAAAGTAACTGTTGAAAGCAGCTTCCCAGAATTCAGCTTTGGGTTGCTTGGATTTCATCGTTCAGGTGGTTTGGGATGCGAAAGAGGGTAAGGCATTTCGATTGGTGCCTCACATGTAGACGGCAGGGAGTTAGCGGAGTGTCGGAAGAAGTGGTGGCGATCGTTTACGACGAACTGTGTGCATGCCCCGACACGAAACCCAATATGGGCCGGCTTGCACGCAAGTTTTCGCATATGTATGAACGCACGCTTCATGTGTGTGTGTGTGTGTGTAATGCATGCATACGCTCAGAAGACATTGCAGTGGCGCGAAACCAAACAAGATAGTCGATGCGCCGAGTCTGGTGCCGTGGGGTGTGCTTGTAGGTTGGCGTCTCTGTCATGCCACTGTATTCACCGTAGGTCAGAAAGGCCAGCAGCCTATACAATCTATGAGAAGCATGGGAATCACACTAGGGCGAACAAAACAATCCCCAGTAAATATGTGGAAACTAGTGCCGCCCTTTGTCACGCACGTCCAGTACGACCATGAAAACCAGGAGTGACCAGGGCAGGGAACATGTCTAAGCACTGTCATGAGGGTTTTCGTCAGATCCAACCTGCTGTACTCCGAACCCAGGCACCAACAGCTCCGAGGATCGAAGCAGGTGGATTGGTTCCTGGTTCAGCACTTGCTTTGATGTTTCTCTTCTGTTCTCTACAAAGAAGTGGGCTACTTCTACTGATTTCTGATGGCCATGCGAGAGCATGTTGGGGTTGGCTTAGGCTAGGTAAGGCCACAATCAGACGGATTGCAACGTTAAACGCATGTGTAACGTGTGCGAGCTTCACATAGGCCCAGGCGTTCAAAGGCAATTACCGGCAAAGCCAAGACGATCATGCTGTACGATCATCAGCAACAGCTATAACCCTTTCAACAGGTACTCCATTGGCTAGACTTACCTTTGGTTAGTAGGGAATGGAAGAATGGGGTACAATTATAACTACTATTGCTACCATGCTTCCATTCCCTACTAACCAAAGGCAAGTAGAGCTCGGAGTTGAGATGCGAGCTGAGATGTTCGCTTGACTGCTGCCTAGCAAGGCGGAGTTTGTCTGGGTCTCTGCAATGATGGTTTGCCGGGTTGGGTTCATTTTCAGGGGACTTTCCCCTTAGGGTTTAGGGTTTAGCCGGGGTTTAGGGTTTTGTAAGGTTTAGAGTTTGGGGGTTTGGGGTTCGCTGGAAAAAACTGACACAGCAAACGCCCCCAGCTGAAGCTGATGAAATCCCACATTGCCTGGTTGCCGGCACAAGCCCGAGTCAGATACCCTTAGCGGCCTTAGCCCAAGCCAGAAAGCAATGCAACATGCAAACACGTCCTTGTCAGGAGTCGGGGCAAGCTCTGCGAATTCATGACCTTTCTTGCGTTCTTTATCTTGGGCGTGGGGACTTCCTTTAGAAGCTGTTTTCCGCGACAGATCAATTCGTCGAAGCCGTATGCCTGCTCAAACTTCACCCTGGAGCCGGTCAGAAGCAACTGGAGATCCCTGAGCCCGGACCCTTGAACCCTAATTGAAAGTCTGAGTCCTCAACACAAAACCTAAGTTCTAGGCAACCCAACTTCATGACCGCGGGACTCCGGAGGGCTCGGGCTGCTGAGGTTGAGATATGTGGTTCTGAGATCCAGGTCTAGGGTTAATGTAGGGGCCTTGATATTTAAAAAGGAACCCAAAAAATAGTATTGGTAATTCCTTAGGCCCCTATAATATGGGTTGGCGTTAATGTCTCCAAAATTGGATGAACAAAAATCTGTATGGCGATTCTCCTTCGCACAGTACAACGGAGGTGAGCTACCCGCTTAGCCAGCGTGCTGTTGAAAGGCACACTTGTGGCTTACTGCAGCCCCAAACAATGTCGGGCGCTGAAAGACAAACCGTACAACCGGTAGCATGAAAATGCAGATGCCTCTCTCTAAAACTTTCTCCAAGGTCTGGGCACTGAACTTGCCATCACCCGCACCGTGCAGGAAGACAAGGACAGGATAGGTCCTGAAACGCTGCAATCGAGCTATTTCCTATCGGGGGCCCCTGGCTTGCGATTTCAACCTAGACCCTAATCACTCCTTGTTTGTCCCAGTAAGCCCCTAGTCTATTGCTTTCTGATTCTGTTGGGGTTGGGAGTATGCTGGGACCTGTCTCTGAGGATGTTGGCCAAGGAACCCTGTGAGGCATTTTCATAAACGAGCAAATATGGGGGTTTCCGAAAATAGGGGACCCTAACATGGTACCCTAAATAATAGGATCCTTGCTATAAGGACTCCAAAATAAGGTACCCGTATTTTCGGACACTCCCATATTAATTGCTGCGAGCAATCTCCGCAGAGCCTTAAACGCCAAACGGAACCCAGTCCCGATGAATTCATTAAATCTGCCTGGGCCGGATCCAGAAGTCCCTCCCAGCTTCGATCTGAAACAACACCCGGAGTTATCGCTTCTTCTTTGCTTTAGAACCTTTAGAACTTTCTTCGCTAGACGAACAATGCTAAATGCAAAAACCAAACCGCACTACACTACACTACACTGCACTATCCTTCGCTACGCTACACTACACGCTACCTTACATCGCACTACATGACATGGCGTTGTGCTACATAGAAAAGTCTTTACATCACACAGTACGACATTTCAGACAATTGCATTACGCGTCATTGAACAGTACCAAGGACAACAAACTGCATTGCACCACAGCTTGATTCGTTGCACTATTGCACACATCGTCATACTCCATTGCACCATGTGGCAACACATCGCCAGATGGCATCATATCGTTTACGAGGCTCCGCCTTTCTGTTCGGCACTATCATGCAAGTGACGACCAATGTCGTTCCCTGGTTACACGTGCATTTCCCACACCAGGTACGAAGAGAGATGCAACTGCACGGAACATACGAGAACATGTAGTGGAAAAGCATAGTGCATGCATGTTCGGCGCCGTGCAAGTTGCAAACTAGCACAGCTGCACGCAGAAATTGACATATGTGGAATTCATAAAACGACCGAAAGTGTCACAACACGTAAAGCGAATTCCGCTTGCTACTTTTTCTAACCAGTATCTAATGTCCACGCCCTCCCTATCCGGAACTCTAGACTTGACTGTAAAAACTCAAACCTGCATGTAAACCTCGCAGCGAACCTGAACGCCACAACCCTGAACCTTCTACGATAGGGGCCTAAATTTGAATAATTACCGATACTATTTTGGGGGTTCCGTATCATAGTTATAGTAGAATGGCCCCAAAACCCTATTCTAATTATTAAGGCCCCTATATTCTAGAACCCTATTACAGATCCCTTATAGACCCCTTTAAAAGGAACCGTATTCTAATTACTAAGGCCCAAAAAATTACTCCCTTTGGGCATTTCAAAGTTCAGACAACTCCGAAGAAAGCTCTAGGGCCGATACTGGCTGCCCGTCTCTTCCCAAGTCGAAGGCAAAAAGAGCTGGTACCTGGTTGAACCATTAGGGTTTCAGCACTCACTCTCGGACATGCCTTAGGGTTTATAGGGTTTAGGGTGGTGTTCTGGGAGTTGGGATCTGGAGAGTTTTGGAGTTCAGTTTGGAGTTGAAACGGGTGCAGAGTTTGCCAGGATAAAGGCTTTGCAACTCCGGTCAGGGGACTTAGAGTCTTCGGGCTGAGGGTAGGGCTGATAGGATTCGTGTCCGCGAGAGGGGTTCTATACCGTGTATCTTGGGCTCATATTGGGAGAGAGCGTTTATCTGCACCTGCAGCAAAACCAGCACGGCTCAAGCGAATCAGGAGCTTCTATATGAATCATTCAATGCAGGTTTCAATATTAATGTTTAGGTGCCGGTTCTAGCACTCTGTTCGAAGATCGATATCATGACTGGTATCTGCCGAAAGCAAAAGCGCGGGGTTTCGAATTTTAGGATTGATTCAGGGTTTCAGAGCTAGGGCAAACATGTCAGCCCCACCTTCCGATGAGGGTTCAATCCTGCTTTCGTGGCGCGAAAACCTGGTAATTATCACCATCATTACCAGCAGCTCACGATTATCATCGCCAGCATCAGCAGCAGCATCATCAACATCATCCAAGTCATCATTCTCAGCAATACCCGGGCAATGATCAGGATGATGACGATGATGATGGTGATGACAAGTGATTGCTATGAACGGAACTGTTACCAATCGTGTCGCTATGAGTATCAGGATTCATCGTCATTACTGGCTGCCGCCGCCACCTCCGGCTGCTACTACCTTATTGCTACGACGACGACGCCACAACCAGAACGTCAACTTACTCTTACTATTGCGCTTACGATTATGCTTACGTGTACGCTTCTTACTCTTACGCTTATACTCCAATACTACTACATACTACCACTACTACATACTACTACGACTACGACGACTACTACTACTACTACTACTACTACTGCTACTACTACTGCTACTACAACTGTTACAACAACTACTACTACTACTACTACTACTACTACTACTACTACTACTACTACTACTCCTACTACTGCTACTGCTACTGCTACTGCTACTGATACCACTACCACTAGCACTAGCGCTAGCACTAGCACTAGCACTAGCACTAGCACCACCACCACCACCACCACCACCACCACGACTTCTATCACGACGACGACGACGACGACTACTACTACTACTACTACTGCCTACCACTGGCTACTACTAACTGCTACTAACTACTGCTAACTTTTTCGAATTACTACTAGCCACTAACCTTCAATAACTACTAGCTATACTATCTACTAACTACTACTAGTGCTGCTACTGCTGCTGCAACTACTGCTTTACTGCTGCTGCTACTACCACCACCAGCACCAGCACCAGTACCACTTTTGCTATTGCCTTTGTCATTGTGATGACTATGGGTAGCAGCTTAACTCCTACTCACACGATCATCAAACACAGATGAAGCTTTCCAGGGCCAGCATTTTGTTGGCACATGGTTTAAGCTCGCTCCACACCCAAAGAGTTTGCAGGCACAGGAATGTAAAGTACTCTACGGCCCAGATCACTTTCCTGACTCTTGAACGAAGTCACAGGGCACAAGCGCAACCAGATTCAAAGAGAAATCTCGACGTAGCCGTCGGGGAGTGCAAGCGAGGACACTCTGCGGCACTCCGATGTGTCTCCCTGCAGGCCCAATTCCAGAAAGCGTGGGAGTGACTGGCCACGGGAAAAGTCCACTGCGCTCCAATTGCGGCAGTTGCAGACGTCCAGTCTGGCGCCGGCCACGATCAAGGCCGCGGCCGCCTCGAATTGGCTCGACCTGATGGCCAACATTAGTGGTGTGCTGCCGGTCAGGTGATATGCGGTAGTCGTTAGAAGAGTTCGCTTGCCTAGCCGGTGCTGCAAAGACTTCCCTGCAAGCAGCAGCCTCCCTAGGATACTGTAGTCGCGCGACCCATTCATCTGGAAGTCGATGTCAGCACGGAGAGTGATCAACCGCTGCACCAGCCCTGCCGAGCCACCCCGAAATGATGTGGCAGCGACGAGTGCCCGAGAAAGATCCAGCGAACCTGGGCGACCCTGCATCACAAGCTCCTCCAGTGCTGCGGTCGCACCTAAAGTTGCTGCAACCTGCAAAGCAGAGGTGCCAAGAAGGTTCCGGGAAAGCGGCCTGGCACCTGCTGCACATAGGAGCCGGACACCCTCCGCACTGTCCGAGTAGGCCGCTGCCTCGACGGCTAAAAGAAAACCTCCGCCCTCGGGGCGGGCTCTGGCCTCGGCCTCGAGAAGCAAGCGTGTGGCATCGTGATGCTTGAAGAAAACTGTCAAGGCCAAAGCCGACACCCAAGGCGGAAAGCCCAGCATCGGCTCATCCTTTGACGTGAGCCGATTCACATCGGCGAGCTGCTGCAGCAGGGCTCGCAAGACTTGTGTGTTTCCGGACAGTGCCGCGTAGTGCAGGGGCCACCAGCCGGCGCTGTCGGCCTCACGGACGCTCCTCAGGCCGTTCTGATGAAGGAACCCTGACACCACCTCATCAGCACTTTGGGCCTCGCAGCTCGGAAGTATGCCGGTCACTGGCTCAATCTCCAGGCCGCGCAGGTGAACCGTCTGAAGGTTCCAGTGGCGCCGGAATCCAGGCAGGTCGCCGACGCGCAGGCAATGGTTGAGCTTCTGCACCAGGATCTGCCGCATCACCGGGGCCAGCTTCTGCCGATCTTCGGCGATGGTCAGATCGCCTTCTCCTACAGAGCTGATCGGAAAGGATAATGCTGTCCCAACAACTTCAATGGAGGTTTCACTTTGAATGAGAATCCAAGTGCTCTTCGGCGACAGCTCGCGCGCCGCGCGCTCTAGGCGGCACCAGCCCCGTCGACTCCAAGTTGCTGCGGTGAGCACAGTGCCCTCGAAGGGGCAGTCGAGAACAGGGCAGAGGGCAAAGAAAAAGCAGCACCTGGCGATGTATGCCGGGATGCTCATGATGGCCTTGCCCTGCTCCAGCTTGTCTGTTATTGCGATCTGATGCTCTAGCTGCGGACATGAAAAATAATCGTACCAGAGGTGGAGTGTCTGCCGCTGGAATTCCTGCATGGGCAGCGGCTTAGCCCTTTGCACCAGGGATTCCGTGATGAAATCCAGAGAAACAGATCCAGCACTGTTCAGCATGCAGTTCAAGGCATTCTGTAGGGCACGCATCTGCTTGAACTCGGGATCTGGGTGGCGCCTATCAAGCCACTGGTGTGAAACAAAAGCGGCCCTGCCCAAGTCGTCGCTGAAGACGACGAGATCGCCCCTCGCCTGGCTTGCGGAGGGGCTCGGTCATGGGATCCCAGTTCCACTGCTTTGAACCGGCCACACCAAAGAAAGGAACCTAACTTACATCAGCTCCAAAAGATCCTCCACTGCACGGGTCCAGCCTTCAACTTCTCGTGTGGCTCGACCGCTGTCATCTTCAGGAGCACATCCACAGTGACTGTGTGCATGGGGAACAGCATGGGTGCTGCCTCACCAAAAGGCGACAAGGCTTATGATTGAAGGCTGCGGGTAGGGCATTTAGATCCGCTGGGTTGCTGTAGAAGAGAACCTGCTGCGGATCTAGATGTGGCAGCTGTTCTGCGCTATGCTCCCATGGACTGCGACCCTTATTATAGTTCGACAAGGCCACGAACGTACTGCAATGCCCAGTGGCATCGGCATCATCGGGCATCAGGCGGGCGGCACTTTCCAGTGGCGTCAGGGACTTGCCGAAGATGCAGGAGGACATGACGACAAGTCTCCAAGAGGTGAAACTGAACAAACAGGAAGCCCCCCAACGCAAAGGCTTGGCTCGCAAAATAGAAACGAGATACGACCTATATAGGGTTTGTGTCCATCGGGGGTAAGGGATCCCAACATCAACAACTCTATTTTTGGACGACCACTGCGCCCTTCAAACTACACTAGTCCTGGGCCCGCGGCAATGTTAAAGCGACAAGCTCGGGGAGCCGAATGCAGAGTTTAGTGTTTGGTTTGCGGCCGCTTAGGGCTCGGCATTTCAGAAACCCGTGCAAACCCACATCCCGACCCAACCAACCTCAACCCTTGACGGCTAAAGCTTGAACCCGAAATCCTGAAGATTGACTTTGACTACACACATGCAAATCTCCGGCGACCTACAAATGACCTAAACCCGAGCAGCAACGACTCAAAAACTGAATAGAAAAGTCTGCAGACCGCCCTAAACCCATCCCATCGCTCAACACAAGTAACCCCTGCTACTTCCGAAGGTCAACCTGCCCCAGGCTCCCAAACTCTTGAACAGAAAGGCCGAAAGTTTCGAAAACCTGTGGCTTCCCACCCAAAGTCAACCCTAAACCCTAAACCCCAAACCCCTAAGAGACCCCTAAACCCAAACCCTAAATCTCTAAACCCTATAGAGTTTATATAGGAGTATAAACCCCGCACCCCCTAGCAGCCAAGGGCACTCCATCTCGTTCCAGGGCGCCAGCCGCGCCCGTCGCCCGGGCGCTGGCACCTCGATGGGAGGCTCCGGCTGGCTCTCTGAGGTGCAGTCCTGGGTTTACGGTTTAGGGGTTCTGGGGTTTAGGAGTTATGGGGTTTAGAGGATACCGAACTTTGCAGTTCCCGCAGGGCTTTGCGGCAATGCGTGCTCCTTCGCACCCCCCCTTCACTGAAGTTCCCTGCACGGTGCAAGCGGAGGTCCGACTGGAAACTCCCGACACTGCTGTGCCTGCCGGTGCTCAATGTTTTTCGGTGCTACAACCAGGGTGCTTTGTGCAGGGTCCCGCCAGCCTCGCGGGCACCGATTGTCAGGTAGTGCGGGTCTGGGAACGGGCAGTTTGCCTAAAGGGTCAGGGGCTGCCGAGCTCCGGATGTCTGCTGCAATCCTATACTGCCTGTACTTCTCACGAGCTCCACTCTGCTTTCGAGGGTTTCTGGGCCCCTTTGTGGCAAAGAGATTCTGGTGATGCCGGTGCTGAGCTTTCCTCTTGGCCTCGCCTTCAAGCCGTGCTGGCACAGTCTGAACTGCAGCCGCTTCCAGGGCTTGACCTTCGGTGCACACCAAAGCAGTGGCGCGAGGCCATACAACGCATGCCGGCGCGCAAGTCCACGGGCATATGTGGTTGGGCCCCCTCTGATCTCAAGCTTCTCTCCGACGAAGCTTTGTCGGTCCTGTGTGCAGCTTTTGAGGCAGCTGTCCGCTGGGGACTACCAGATCACCTCCTACACGCCCGGGTTTGCGTGCTCGCTAAAGCGCAGTGCCCAAGTCATATCAAACAGAGCAGACCGATTACCATCTTTTGCACCTTATATCGGGTGTGGGCGTCCATTGTCACGCGCCGATTGTTGCGAGAGTGGGCGGTGCTTTTCCCGCCGGCTGTGAGTGGCTCGGTTCCTGGTAAATCGTGCCGGGAGGTTAGCGTCAAGCAACAACACTTGATTGAACTCTCGCTGACCGGCGGCCCAGGTAGGGTTGGGTTCTCGCTTGACATTGTCAAATGTTTCAACCAGCTGGGTTGGCCTCCCCTGCAATCCTTGATGGAGCGACTGGGTGCTCCGAGCAGTGTCGTCACCTTTTGGATCCAGTGTTTGCGCCGCCTGGTGCGCCATTCCAGCTTTCTTGATGATTTGTCCGATGGCATTCATTGCTGCAACGGAGCCCCTGAGGGTGATCCAGTGAGTGTTGCTGCATTGGCAGTCGTCTGCTGCTTTGCAGAGGAGCATTGCCGCACTTCCGCAGTTGTTTTTGACACATATGTCGATAACTGGGGCTGGTCCAGCACCAGCCGGTCCGCTTTGGTGCAGGCTGTGCCCCGTGCATTGCAATTCCTTGATGCCCTCTCGCTGCCGGTTGATTGGGCTAAGTCCTATACTTGGGCCACGTCAGCTGCTGACCGGAAATGGTGGAGTACGGCTCATAACCAGGTTTTCCCACAGGGGGTTGAGGTTCCTTTGGTTTCTGAAGTTCGCGACCTTGGGGTTTCGTTCAAGTATGACGGCCGCCCGCATGCGATTTCCCGTGCGACCCGCATACAGGATGGACTGGAGCGGCTTGATAGACTTAGGTCCCAGCCCCGTAGCCCCACTGTTAAGGCTTCCATGGTCCAGCGGGGGGTGTGGACTGCCTGCCTGTACGGAGCATTTTTCCCTTAGTGAGTTCCGTAGTCTGCGAGGGCATGCTGCCAGAGCCATCGTTGGACAGCATCAGGTCTTGTCACCTTACCTTGCACTGAGTGCGCTGTCATGTACCTGTCAAGACCCCCAGCTGTATAGCCTTGAGCAACAGTTACAGCTGCTTCGCAGGTTGTGCCGAAGTGAGCCTGAGATTGCCCTTTCAATTCTGACACTTGCAACCGGGGACCTGCCGCCCAGGTCCTGCCAGGGACCCGCTACGGCCCTGCGACTTGCGCTTGACAGAGTGGGGTTGCAACTTACGAGCGCCGGTATTCTCAAGGGACTTGATAATACTTGGGTTGATGTTACTTGTTGTAACCGCAAGGAGATACGGTCAATAATTTGGTCTTCGCTACTCGCACGCTGCCTGTCCCTCAGCTTGAGGTTCGAAGCTTTACAGAGATTGGGCCACGCCCTTTTGTGCGCCTTTTCACTGACGGCTCTTGCCGCAATCCCACTGTGCCCGACGCCTCACTGGCAGGTTTTGCGGTCGTCCTGGACACAAGCCCAACGGATGATGTGATACCAGGCCTGCTTTCAGAATGGCGGGCCACCACCCGGCCTCCTACGGAGTTTCGTGTGGTGTGTCAAGGCAGTGTGCCCGGGATCCAGAGCATAAGCCGAGCGGAGGTGTGTGCAGTGATACAGGCCATTAGGGTGGTGCTTTTACTCGGTGCTCCTTCTGCCGAGATTTGGACGGACAGCGCATTTGCAATCTCTGAATGGGACCGAGCCTGTGCCGGGTTGGAGTGTACCTGGCCTGACCTGGCAATATGCTGGCCCGTTTGCGCCATGCCCCGGTGCAGCTACGGAAGGTCGAATCACACCAGGATCTGCAGAAGCTTTGTGGACTTCCACAATGGATTGCATCTGGTAATGCTGTTGCTGACGAAGCTGCCAAAGCGGCAGTCGCGAGAGACCTGCAGTGTGTGCAGGACTATGCTGCGGCAGCGCTGCATCATGTTACACACCAGCGCGATCTGCTTCGACAGTTCTGGACCTACTTGACCAGGCTCTCCCTTGAAGAGTCCCGACTGATGAAGGCCGCTCGCAACAGCTCTGCGCCTCCTGCCGTTGTTGCTTCAACTGAGCGTGTGGAGAAAAAGTCGCTGGAGCTGAACAATGGCCCGCATGCTACATGGGGCGTTCCTGCGGCACAGCGCGAATGGTTCTTGGCCTGCAGCTGGCCACCGTGGTTTGCCGTCCCCCTCTGGGAATGGTGTCGTTCTTTGCAGTGGACCGTCTTGCCCCCCAAGGGCAGGGCTCCGAGTGGGGTGGCCTATGTCGAGATCCATGTTGCGTTTGTCTACGACACTGGCTATTGTCCACCTGCCGGGCTGGATATTGGGCGATCTGCCACGGAGATTGCTGACAACCTGCTTCAGGAACCTGTTACGTTGCGTCAGCTGAATCACAGTCTGGTGCAGGCTGTGAGACAGTTGGAGCGACTCTCTCGGGAGACTCTATGGCCACCACGAAGAGGCAAGGTCTTCTCCCTGCGTACAATGAACTGCCAGGATGCTCGAATAGGGCTGTCTCTTCGACCTTACTTTCGTGACTCTGAACAACAAGCTCAGCTGCTTCGGAAGGTAATTGACACTTCAAGTGTCGCCCCTCTTTTGCGATATTGCAAGGACTGCGGTAATAAGCCGTACTCCTGTGATCAGGCCTTACAGAAAGCCTGGAAGTGTGTTAATGCTCCACAGCGGGCACAGATGGCTCGCAGTCTGCGAAAGTGCAGGTGAGACGTTTTGCGCTGAAGGACCTGGAGGCTCGGAGTCGCTGTTGCTGGCCCGTGTCCTCCCTCATACCCGGTGAAAGGTTTAGGGTTTAGGGCGGGTTTAGAGGGCGGTTGTCTAGGGTTTTATGAGGTGTTGTGGAGTTTTGGAGGAGTTTAAAAATGGGGCCTCCCTTGTTTGCCGCGAATCCGGGGTTAGGGTTCATACCTGGGTGTCAGTCGACCTGGAAGCTTTCGGCTTCTCACCCACCCCAGCTGGGAAACTCGCGGCAACAGAGCACTCAGCCAGCACACTCGTCACCATGACGGTACGACATCAAGCAAAGGAAAGAAGTCGCTTTGAAACGATTACGGACTTAGGACCTGCAGCTCTTCCACACGACGACCTCACTTCCAGTCTTGAACTGTTTTTTTGTCTTCAAGCCTGACGAGGCTAAAACAGAGTCCAACTACGTGCAGCATTGGCCGAAGCTTCTCCACGTCTTCCAAAATTTAGTTTACGCTCTCGCAACTCGGACAAGCCAGAGGAGGTCTCTCGGCACGACTGCGCACTACAGGAGGTTCGTTCTTTCAGGATCTTGGCTGTCGGAACCCTGGCTTGGTGGTAGTACTGGTGTGCTGGAGCCCCGTTTGGTTAGGGCTTCAAGGGATGGGATTCACCTTGCGCACCTGCGTGCTGTGTTCTTTAAGGGCTTCAAGTGGATTTCGACTCTCATAGCTTGGGAATTAAATCTTAGAACATAGTTCTGGGCCATTTCTGGTCTCGGATTGGGGTTTCGTTTCGAAGGCCTTTCCCCTTTCATTGTTTGATCGCTTAGGATATCAGGCTTGTGTAGGGTTTATGGCATCATGCCAGTAATTTGCCAGAATGGCCAAGTGCTAGCACATGGCTTTTTGTGCCATGAAACCCATGTCAGGATCATAGTGGTGCAGCAGTACCATGTGATAGCCTCTTGCTGTCACCCGCTTAGCTTGAACCGTCCCCGCACGCCTTCTCAATGCCCCGAGAAAACTCGACCGGCCAAAGACCAGGATTTGGCACAAACTCTCGTGAAGTAGCCGCATGAAGCCTTTGGGCCAAGGGCGATAGGTGCTTGCTGATGCGAAATCGGAGGATGACAACTCATCCCAAGCTCTCATAACGCCTTAAACCAAAGGACTGCAACGGCAATCCTAGGTTGCACACCCAGGCCAAGCGAAAAAAAGCTAGAGACTAGACGGTGGACATGGTGATAAACGGCCAGATGGTCGGGGCGTTGGGTTTGCACACACCAATGCTTACATACTTCGCGGTACATGGCCGCCAATTTTCGGTGATGGTCGTAAGAACCCCCAAGGCGAAACTCTTGCACAAGAAGCCTCAAAACAACACCCTGAAAAAAAAGACGTAACCGAAACGTAACACCGGAACCTCATCGCAGCCACTCCGTGGTCACCAAGACTCGGATTCTGGAAGAGGCTGCATGCAGGCAAGCCTGGCTCCGCTAGACAGATGGAAGCAGTAGCAGTAGCAGTAGTAGTAGTAGTAGTAGTAGTAGTAGTAGTAGTAGTGGTAGTAGTAGTAGTAGTAGTAGTAGTAGTAGTAGTAGTAGTAGTAGTGGTAGTAGTAGTAGTAGTAGTAGTAGTAGTAGTGGTAGTAGTAGTATCAGGAGAGCATGTAGCCACCATTCGATCATGTAGCCACCGTTCCATCTCACTCCTACTCCCAAGCCGCTTAGCAGGCTATTTCGGTGTTTCTGCCCAGGAAACAAGTCATATCCAGGGGTGGCATCAAAGGCAACATTAAGACTGGAAATTTGTAACTCATCGCTTTACTGAGCCAGACTGAGCGGCGTTATGTCATTCACAGGCGGGAATGAGTCCTTCAAGATCCTTAAAAAGCCCAGTAAACAGTAGCATCAATCGTATCCCAAGGACCATTCGAATACACATGCCGTGCTCAGAACATGTCAAGTGCTTTCGGCTAAAACTTGCGCAAAGCTGTGCAGCAACGTGTGGCGTTCGCTGCTGCTTCAAGGGTGCATCTACCGCGCTGACTGCCCCAACCCAGTATAATGCACTACGGGCACCTTTCTCATTGTGCCACAGATTGGAGGTTTGCTTGCCGCAGGGGGCTGCTTTCAATCCACTGTCTCAGCCCCACGAAGATCGAGCCGAATTCGCCTAGTGAGCTGCACACTTGCGACACATAACTTGTTTGTTGAAGGGACACCACCTGAAGAGCTTTTAGGAACACTGTACAGATCATTGCGCCAGTCGAGAAGCTCTTCTGGGGTTGCTTGGCCGGCAGTAGCAGCAGCCACCCTGCAAGCAGTTTCTGCCCGATCTGCACCACGGACACACCTAAATCTTGAATGCTCCACTCTCAAGCTTTGATATCATCGGAAGCAGAATAGCAGGCTGATTCCTGCACTTAGCAGGTTCAAGATGCCCTAAAATCCACCATTAAGGGCCATCAGGCCCCTGAGACGTCCTGAACATCCCCAAAGTATAGACTCCTGTGTGGGCTCTCGGGCTGATATGTTGAGAGGTTGCTGGTAGTGACGGGTAGTCTGGGCTCTTTTAATTTTAAGCTACCATAAATACAGAAACCATATGTTGTTTACTATAGATCCCTGTTATGGTAACTTAAACTGAGTTCCTTAACAAGAACCCAGTATTAACTAGTCACCTGGTCTCTCGCGCAGGTTTTGACGACGTGCCTTTTCCGGATGATCTGGCAGGGAATCGAGAGATCATGCCCAAACCCGCATGGCCCGCCAGCAGGAACGTTTTTCGTAGTGGCATATTTCCTTTCTGCCTCTGTGAAGTCCATGCCGTGTAACTGCACGAACATGCGAATAAATGATCTATTGAAACCGCTGTGTGTGACTAAGCGTGATGGTACATGCTCATAGTACTTGGCAAGTACACACATACACCCATAAATACATACGCATATTGATTCCAGTGCTGTGGAGTGGGCACGTCACAAATAGTCGAAGAGCGCAGGGTGGATACTGCCGGGGCCGTAGAAAATAAAAAAATAGGGTTTAGGGCCCATTATCATAGTACTTTTACTATAAGAAGGAACCACCAAAATAGTATTGGTAATTATTAAGGCCCCTAAAGTAGGCGATGAAGGGTTCGTTTTGCAGCAGAGATTCGGAAGCAGCGGCTTCGGCTTCAACAGAGCGGCCGCTGCCAGGAAGACCAGCATCGAAGCACCGCCGCAAACCAGCTTGCTTCGGTGCCTTTGAGGGGGTTTGAGGGTTGGCTTTTTTGGAGTTTAGGGTTTAGGGCTTTTTTTGAGGGTTTAGAATTTCGGAGCCTTAGTTGCTGAGTTCATAAGCCAAAAAAATGTACACTTTTAGTTTTGTTGGGGTAATATGATCCCCAAAAATGTAAAGTGCATCCACTCAGCTACTAAGGCGCCTTCTTCGGGCAACTGGGGTTTATGCTTCCCACATGCAGAAACAGCCACAGAACCCAAGCAACTACACAAGAATAATACATCAAGACAACTAAGCACTACCGCCACAAAGTCTCTGGCTTTATCCAACATGTAGACATGGAGCACGGATGGCAAACTATTACCCAGGGTGTCCTCTTGTCTTGCTTGCAGAACACAATGGTACATCTTCCAGATCTTCTGGCTAACTGATATTGTCAATGCAAGCGGCTACATTTCAAGCCGCAGTTAACTGATAGCCGTCCCCCTTGGTCTGCTATGCTGCATGGATGGGAATGAAGGAGCGCGACAAAGGCCACCTCTGAGCTCCCACATGACGAAATGGATGCTAGACTCTTTGGCTCTCAAGGTTGAGCAATGACATGAACCGCAAACCCTATAAACCCTTGAACTACGAATCTTCATCCGCGGAAGGCTCAAATACTCTGCTAAACCGAAGAACCTACCCCCCTCAACCGGAAGCCCCATTATGGGCCCGCACTCTCTTCGGCCAATCTGAGAATACGTGCAGCCCGGGGGCAGCTCGAAGAAACTGGACGGTGCGAGCCGGCGAGGGGAGCTCGGGACGCGGGTACGGCCGAACTTCGTGGCCTCTTCACCGCTTCCGGCTTAAGGGTTCAGCAACTTTCAGCACTCACACTCGGTTTAACGGTTCGAACTGAAGGATTTTGGGGGGGCATGCAGCTGAATTCTGCTGCTGATGCAGTGCCTAAGCGCTGTAGTGAAGCCTAGACGGTGGGTTTTCTCAAGACGAATCCTCTTTGCCATGCCAACGTAGCAGAACGAAAGTACATGCATGTGGATGCTGCGGCTTACAACCTATAGGGGTACCATGAGCTCACCCTGGAATTCATATGGATCCTGCTTCGAACACCATGGTAAGTCCCACTCGACACATCTGATAACAACTACGTCGGCTTCTCCGGGTCAGAACATGCACAATTGCTTGGAGGTTCAGGGGTAGTTAGAAGTGGGGTTATAAGTCCCCTAATAGGAGTTATAACTATAGAGACCCTACTTATAAGCGCACTTATAACCAAGTGCACTCTCACAACTCGGTACTTGGTTTTGGCTTTATGGTTCTTGTTCTTATTAGCAAGGTCGCCAGTCGTTGCGTCACCAGCTCCGGCTCACCATCAACTGCATCCCAGCCCAAATTTTGTACTAGGGTTCAAACCCGAAGCGAAGATACAGTATAATAAGGGTCTCTTTATAGATATCCTTATAGTGACCCTTAAAGGAACCCATTGGCAATCATTAATGCCTCTATATTGATACAGTCTGCAAACCTTGAATGCAAACCTCCTTTGGAGGAACGAGCAGTTTAGGGTTTCGAGTTCCCTTGTCCCATGCATGACCAAACAAACACCACTTTCACTATCGTCAAGAACTTGGTTTTGCTCTCAACCCCAAAAATGCTGTCGATCTCCTCGAACAATTCTTGCTCCGTTGGCTTGGCACCTCCGGCATGGAACGGCGGCATCCGAACACATCCCAATTACACAGAGACGTAGCATTGCCCTTGTCCTCCCTGTGACTGGCGCCTCGACCATGCGTCAGCGCAGACGCGAGGCGCGCAAAGGCCGCGGTCGACAGAAACGACTGGGTTACACTCCACCCGCACAGTCTTTTGTCTAGTCTGGTACTTTAGAATCCTTGACTTTACATACAGGTTTTAAATGGTTTTAAAGCTCCGTATCCCACATATCGGGGACTCTTCGCAGCCGAATGACACTGAAAAGGAGGGTGCCGTAGGAGGGTGCACTCTAGCAAACAGCTCACAAGGCATAGCACTAGGTGGGTGGCCTGGATGAGGGCCATGTTTTGCACGCTCGGACTCCGTTCGTCGATATCTGTAAGTGCTTCCTTGACGCTTTTGCAAGGCCTGGTTGTTGTGTCGATGCTGGACTGCTAGAGTCTGGGACGGGATGTGTTTGGCCAAAGACGTAGGTATACCCCTGAAGCTTTGACCCTTCTGGACTCCCGCTGTCAACCCATCCTCCGTCCTCATCTCTGAACCGTAGATGCAATGTGGCATTGGCAACACGACATGAGATGCTGTCAGCTGAAAACAAAAGGACTGCGCCGGTCAAACTTATGACAACTTCAGATTCCACTCTGCAAGCGATCTAAGAGCAACAAGCTTGGAGCGAAACCGTCACAGTCATCCTGATCACCCATCAAAGGCGAACACGGCACAATCGTCAGTCATCGAATCATCAGTGGCACCAACAGCGGTCGTAGTGGTCATCACGGTATCACCGTCATAAGAATCGGAACCCACAGCATCGTGACCATCGCTAAACGTATCAGAGCCATCATCATCACCATCACCACCACCATCACGCCAACACTACGGTCGGCATCGGCATCATCACCACCACGAGTATATCCATCATCATCATCATCATCATTGTCACCATCATCACCATGACAGTGGCCTAGCTCGGCAACATGCTTATCGTCGAAATCTTTATCGCTTGCTGTCCCACACTTCGTCGCTACACTGACCACACATGCTACCGCAAGTTCACCACTGCACCGCCACGAAAACCACGACAGTCACTACAACCACCAAACCCAACAACAACAACAACAACAACAACAACAACAACAACAACAACAACAATAACAAAAACAACCCCAACCACAACCACAACCACAACGAGAACGACAACCACAACCACAACCACAACAACAACAACTACTGCTGCTGCTACTACTACTACTACTACTACTACTACTACTACTACTACTACTACTACTACTACTACTACTACTACTACTACTACTACTACTACTACTACTACTACTACTACTACTACTACTACTACTACTACTACTACTACTACTACTACTACTACTACTACTACTACTACTACTACTACTACTACTACTACTACTACTACTACTACTACTACTACTACTACTACTACTACTACTACTACTACTACTACTACTACTACTACTACTACTACTACTACCTACTACTACTACTACTACTGCTACTACTACTACTACTGCTACTGCTACTGCTACTGCTACTGCTACTGCTACTGCTACTGCTACTGCTGCTGCTGCTGCTGCTACGGCTACGGCTACGGCTACGGCTACGGCTACGGCTACGGCTACGGCTACGGCTACGGTTACTGCTGCTACTGCTACTGCCACTGCTATTGTGACGACGACGACGACCTGCTACTACCACGTCTCGTACTACCACCTGTACTAATACTACTACGACGACGACTACGACTACTAAGCCTACTTACCTCTCTCTCGCTCTCTCACACCGAGCAGATACCTTACTTCATCCTCTCCCCTGCCGAGTGCAGGAAACCCTGGCTCCCGGCGGACATTGAAGCGCACCGGGCGCTTTCCAACCCGACGCTCTGACGAGAATGTCTACCAAATCAAAGGCCCGAAGAACACTCTGCACCCCAAACTTCACGGCTCCTTCCCGATTGCCCGCTCTGCCAACTCCAAAGCTTCTTGGGCTTTGGCGGGTGTTTGCCCTCGCAGCAGAACGCGGTGGTTTACGATTAGGTTCAGTCCACTTTTAGGATGTAGGGCGGGTTTGGCTCCGTTGGGGGAAGCACCTCCGGCATGTGCAACTACTTTCGGAACGAAAGGCCACCCCAAGACGAAGCCTGCCTCATGCCACAAGTTGCTCCCCTGAAAGAGTTCCTGTTCTGTTACATTGAGTTTCGGCTGCTGTGTGTCTTACTCGCATGGTGGTATGCGTATGGCTCATGATGGCCTTTCTGCCACGTCTAGGGGCAATAACGATCATGCTTTGACCGCCCAGAAAAACTCTCAAGCAGAAATAAAGGGAGGCTATCATGAGTTCAGCTGGGGCATTTACATCTCGGAGCCCAGTACCAGAATGTGAGACGGGATGAAGCCATCTGAGGTACTCCAAAGTCTGACCGGTACTTTTGTCCTGTGGGGCTTTCACATTTTCGCAAGGCTATAATGACATGGGTTACGCTCCGCCACACAAGTCCTCAGAGACCACATATTTAAACAGCCCAAAACACCGACACCAAAATCCGTTCCGTGAGCTTAAACGATCGACCCGAGACCGTCAAGACTAAGTAAGCTGTATCATGCAAGCGTAGATGACCGAACGGTGAAAGAACACCACGATGACCATTACCACCACAACCGCCTCGACGACCACTGCGGCCCGGACGATCACGACAACCAGTGGACCACCAGGAGACCAGCAAGAAAATCGACCGGAGGGCATCAAGAGACCCCAAAAGCCCAGTGGGAGACCACCAGTACCACAACGCCCCCACACCGCCAAAACTGCTTTCCTCCATGCAAGCAGTGGCAGGAATCGGCAGCACAGCCAAAAGGCTCCCCGCAACTACCAACGGGACTCGGGAGCACGGCCAGAATGCTTTAGGGTTTGGGGTGTAATAGGTTTAGGGATCAGGGTTTAGGGTTTGGGGTTTAGGGGAAAAGGACGATGCTTCCCAACAGGTACTGGCCAACAGACGTCTCGCGTTGCCCCGTATTGGAATCTATGAATCTGGCTCTCCACGAGATGGTCTCCAGATTGTCTCCAACGGATCTAAACCCGGAACGTTAAACGTCCAAACGCTAATCCTATACAAACAGCAGGATGTGAGCACAAGTGATGCACCGCGCCACAGCGGCAGCTGCCTCTCGAGAAACCTCCCGTCACAGGCCCCTTGTGGGAACAGTTTAAGCCATGCTGCTAGAACCCATACAATACAGTAAGAACCCCTCAGCGCGTGCTACACTGTTCGGGCAACAATCCTAAGCTTGAAACCTTAAATCCTGCGGCCGTAAACCTCCAAACAACCCAAACTTCCTGGCCTTTCAAGCAGCATTCCGCCAGACCAGCCAAAGCTTCGGCATAGAGGCAGCGCAAACGAGTCACGGCAAGGCACCTGTCAGTTTCTTGCACTTTAAGATGGGATGTTCAGATCAAGATCCTAAGCCCTAGGACCCTATAAACCCTGATAAACCCTAAATAGGGGATTTTTTGAGTTTTCATCTTGCCAGTGACTGGTCCTGTCATCCACGCAGTCCGTCTCTTTTTCACAGTGTGTAGTTACGCTGATATCTCTTGGCATGTCAACACCACACCTTTAATCTCATTCCCCCGAGTCCTCTTGTTGTCACTACGTCATCTTGCTGCAAAGATCGATTAGTCCTGCATGCCGGGCCTCGTTAATGTAGGATGGCTAAGCTGGCTTAGCTTTTCCAGCTTTCAACTGAGCAGTACACTTCAGCTGCGCAACACGACGGAGAGCCAGTGGATTAAGCTCTGTGTTCCCTTCTGCCCTTCTTCTGCTACTGCCCTTTTTGGGTTAGCTATGAATATGGGAACCTTGCAATGGTTCGAAGAGGGATTTGCGCTGAAAACTACAGGGGACTGGGCTCTGCTTCTGCAGCTCCTTGCTATTTCAGGTCGATCGTAACATCACGGCAGCCCCGCGTTGAGTATGACGGCAACTGAACAGGGCTTCAAGATATGTCAGCCTCATGATTCTCAATGTGCAAAGCAAAGCTTCGTCGAGGCATTAAGCGAGGGCACTGACGGAATGACGATCGGTGTTGCTCTCCGGAAGGTGGAAACGCGCTGATTCTCTCTCGCTCTCTCTGACTCTCTTCTGACTTTCTTGCTGTCCCTCCGTCTCGCGCTGGCTCTGCGCGCGACGTCTTTTCAGCACCACTGTCTGCTCGGAATGCACACCCCTCGACACCCCGTGTAGTACGCGGTGTATGCAATTCAGATGGCAGCCTGTTCCCGATCTTCAGGAAAAACCCAATTCCAAAACAAACCGAAGCCGCTCAATCACCAGCAGCAACACACGCTGACACCCCACAAGAAACGAAACTCCCATTGCACGACAGAGGGCTTTCCGCTGGCCACGAGCTCGGCCCGTACTCTGCCATCTTCCCAGATGTCAGCACCGGCCTGTCGCGAGAGACAGGCACACTCACACACAAACATACACACACACAGAGACACACACACACACACACAGACAGACACAATCACACAGGCAAAAAAAAGTACTTATACATATATCCATGTCCATATACCTACAAAGACCTGTCGGCCTACCTATGTGCAAAATTATCTCTCTGTCTGTTTATAAAAGAAGGAAGGAATGTATGCCTGTGGCAGTGAGTGTGTGTGTGTGTGCGCACGAGAGATATGAAGACCAGTAAATGCCATTATAACACCTTTAAGCGTGTGCATAGCTAACGAACTACCTTCATTAACTCGTTCAGTAGTCATGAAGTAGTACATGCACATGACACTCCTGTTTCCTAGTCAGCATATGACATAATTCTACATGCAAACAGCTCGTGCATGCTTACACATGCTGCATCCGTATGTAACTCCATGAGTTCACTGTCTACCTGAGTCTCTACTCCTGTCTACTTATAAACTTATGAGCCTAGGGGTTGCGGATTCTAGGTTCTCGGCTCTTAAAGCTTTTAGCTGGTCAGTTCTAGAGGATGGGGTGTGCTGAGAGAGCGGGCCAGTATTCTTAGAGGTTGC